TTCATCTAAGAAGAGCAATTCAATCAATTAAATTATCCACTGTGGTTTCTTAAGAAAGGTACAGTTCTGTATTTCTAAAATGCTCATTTATGTACTTAATGACTTTGAATTTGCAGGGAAATATTCACCTGATTTATGTGATGCAACTGTAGGGTATGAATCTACTGGCAATGATCAAATCCTAAACACAAATGTGGAATAACTGCTCAAAGTACATGTAAAAGTCTTTTGTGATTAAATTATCATGGGACTGGGAACCAAAAGTACTATATAGGAATCATTGCTTTACCTGAAATTTTTCTGAGAAAAATAAACATCTATCTTAGAAATCATAGAATCTCTGAGGTGGCAGAGACCTCAGATGACATTCAAAGCAATCTTCTTTGGTAGGGTGACCCTGCCTGGGATTCTTCTGGTTTTAGCACTGAAGATTCTAGTCTTACAAAAGTCTCTGAGTCTTGGGTAAACTAAGTTGGTCACTCTACTCTTTGGAATCGTGAATCTTCTCTGCAGCGTAACATACAAGAAACTTAACTGAGACTTCAGAGTTCTATTAGAACACAGAGTAACGCAGACATAGACTTTGCTGAGTTCTATTCCCCTTTGTGTCAAAATCAGTGCTATGATCTATCCTTGTTCTATCTTCCACAGCAAGACAAAGTTTATTCCCTCTTCCACCTGATAGCTCTATGAGCATGTGAAGACTGTCCTTCCCATCCCACATTTCCCCAATCCAGTCTCTCTAGTCTCTAGGATAAGCTAGCCTAGCCCCTTCATCTGCTCCTTGAGTAATCTCACTACTCTCCTCTGGGCAGGTTCATCTGTCAAGGTCCCTCAAGCACTGACAGGCCAAACTTAGCTCAAGGACCTGCCTGAGCAGAACTCATGAGCCCTTTCTTCATGGGCCTGGGTGTCATGTTGCCATGTGGACAGACATTCCCTTAGTTCATTTGTCCACCATATCCCACCATCAGATAAGAATACAATTCATGTCAATATAAAATCATGAATCTTTTCAACATATGCTGTTGTTCAAAGCTCTGCCATCTTGTAGTTGTGTAGTTCGTCTTTATATCCCAACACCACACATTTATTCTTCACAGTGAACCCATTATTCCAGCCCAAGGTGGATCATAATTTTGGATCATAATTCTACTATCCAAATTATTCACTCCAGTAATTTGGTTTCAATTCATGTAGTATGAGAATGTTTTCTGCATGTCAACATCTGCAATCATGCAAATCACTGGCAGAAATGTTGACTAGGTTGAGAGGAATACCAGATGATAAATCAGTGCACACCTATTTGCTACATAAAGGCAGATATTCATGTGGCTCCTTTACTTTAAAATATTCTTGAGGGCTTTCCCTTCCAGATTTTAGAAAGGAGGTTGAAACAAGAAACAGTACAAACACACAGTAGCAATACTTTCCTCTTTTCAACCAGTAACTGTCTTCTGTTTACCTTGAGCCCACATATAGTCCTTCAGGCATTTCCAAACTTCAGTGAAACAAAGTTATGATAGAAATCCCACCATGAGCTGGAACTGAGCAGCACTGAGTGTGATCCATCAGTACAGAGCAGCCACTATGTTTGACTCTCTTCTTTGCTGGCACACAATAGGGGTGCACTTGCCCACCCCTTTTGAGGTCTGGCATGGCCTTGTGACTTGTGCTAGCCAATGACATGCATGTGGAATGATATGCATTACACACTGGCAGGAGCTATAAAATCCAGCTATGGGGTTTGTCATGTTTCTTCCCCAGTGTTGTTTTGATCAGGGAAAGACGTGTCAAGACAAAGCCTTCATTAGCCTGGGTCCCTGGGAGAACACAACTCTCAGTGGAATGAATATGAGGGTGATGGATGTGTCAGAGTTCCCCTGAAAACCCATATTGGATATGCAGGCTGAACAGGAAATGAAGCCCCTAAGATGCTGGTTGTTTTTTTTTACTGCTCTATGACTTTGCCTATTACACAGGGAAACTACAATGCAGAAGTAGAAAAAGATATGGACTGCTATTTACAAGAAGCTTACAGTATAGTTGAGATAATCATACCCACAAAATACAAGTAAGGACTCAGTTAGCATGAAGTAGGATGCTAAACTGGAAAGTAGAGATCATTAGCCAATAAGATATGGTGCTATGAATGAATCACTGAGATAATGCATTAAAAGGGAATTAGTGAAAGGGGAACTCAACATGGGCTTACAATTCTCAGAACACGTTTCATTTCCGCTAAGCAAAAGTGCAAACTATCTAATTTATTGAAAAGCGTTACAGGAAACAGTTCTACAAATATGTTGTCTCTTCTCTTTTAAAACTGTAATAAATGTGTGAGCTTAAGTTATGGGGCCATTTCCCATGTATTTGATTTTAGTCTTTTCTAATAAAGTACTTAGTGTTTTTTTAATGGACATATTATAAATCTCTGTCCTCCAGAAATGGACAGATTTAGCATAAATCAGGAGTTTTATAAACACCCTGGCAATTATTGTAACACAGACAAAATGGAGCTGATCATAGCTCCCACTTAAATGTGATTTACTTTATTTCACAGAAAGGTCTGTTATTACAACTACACAGGTAAATATTTGCCTGAATACCCAATATCAATTTGGCTGACCTAGCAAAAATATGACCTTGTTTCTTTAAAAAATATATTCAACCTCTCCCTTCTGTCCTTCTATAGGGATGAGGGAAGTGAAGTATTAATCGGAATACTCATTCACTCATTTAGCAAGCACCTACTCTCTGCCAAGGACCGTGCTATTCATGAATAGACACTGGCTATTCATTAATGAGCAGAACAGTCTAGGGTCTGTCCTCAGGGAGCTTACAAAACAGAGCGGGAAGAGATAGACAGCAGAAAGAGTGAGGAGAAGGACTTTCTAGCAGAAGAAACACTATGTCTTCCCTACTCTGAATCAGAAAAGAGTTTTGAGTATTCAAGAAAATCAAAGTCCAGCATGTATCAATCAAGCAAGGTAAATGCAAAGGAAAGTTGTTTGAGATGAGGTTGAGGTTGGGTAATAGGCAGGCCACATGGACTTTGGAACCTCTGTTAAATTTTTTTTCCCATTTTATCTCAAATGCCCTCAGAGCTTTGAACAGGGGGTACAATGTGACACAATTTCCATTTTAAGAAAGTCATTCTGGCTGGATGAAGAATGGACTGGAGGGGTTAACGTAGAGGTGGAGGAGTAAGAAGCCCAGGCAAGAGGTAGCAGTGACCTAGACTGGAGTGGTAGGGATGGTAATGGCATGAAGTAAATAAATTGAAATATATTTGGAAGTAAAATCTTAGAGGGGTCAATATGAGGGTGATGGATGTGTCAGGGAGAGCTCCTGGTTTCTGGCATGAGCGAGTCTCCATTTTGCGCAATGGGGAAGAAAGGAGGAAGAGTCAGAAGGAGGATGCAGAGTAAAGGTTCCCTGCTGTTGAATGCAGCTGTTGAAGGCAATTGGATACATTGATCTGAAGTTCAGCAGAGCAGAATAGGCAAGAGATGTAAATGCAGGGGTCATCTGCTTAACGCTTATATTAGGCTGTATGTACAGGACAAGGAGTTGCGGGCTTGGAAATGTGAACAGGATCAATGAAAGTTCTTGGGAGCCAAGAGGAAGTTGGACTAGAAGCCTAATACATTTAAGAGAATAATCCTTGACATTCTTTGATCCAATCGCAGACCTATATGAGAATATGGAAATGTTTGTACCTGCTCCCATTAGGCCCCTAAGTCACAGTTCAAAACAGAAGCATCTCTGTGCCTATCTCTACATCACAAGTTAACTTCATTTTCAACTTTTACTACAAGTTTCCTCTCCCACTCAACTATTTTTCAAAAGAGAATGATATTTTTATCACTGTACACATTTTACTATCTAAGCAATCTTGGGCAGAGGAATGCTTCCCAAATACCAAACTGTGACAAAGTGTTTTTCACTAATCCATGGCTAAACAAGAAAACCAGAACCACAGAACACATATAATGTCAAGATAAGGTGGCCAACTATCACTTCCTGGAACAGATGCTCCATTATTCTGAAATCATGTCAGTCCTACCCTTTTAGTATTAAAACACCCTTTCTTTTATGAAATAATAGTGATAGATTTCTTTTTTTTTTTTTTTTTTTTTTTAGATGGATTCTTGCTCTGTCGCCTGGGTTAGAGTTCAGTGGTGCAATCTTGGCTCACTACAACCTCTGTCTCCCAGGTTCAGGTGATTCTCCTGCCTCAGCCTCCCGAGCAACTGCGATTATAGGCAGGCACCACCACGCCTGGCTAATTTTTTGTATTTTAAGTAGAGATGGGGTTTCACCATGTTGGTCAGGCTGGTCTCAAACTCCTGAACTCAGATGATCCACCTGCCTCAGCCTCACAAAGTGCTGGGATTACAGACATGAGCCATCATGCCCAGCCAAGATTTTTTTCTAATGTCCTTACTTAACAAAATAAAAGATTAATAATCCTATGTAAAACTCTACTTCTTTTTAATTGCTCAAGTCTGTGAAATCCAAAATCAGAGAAGAATAATAAAAGAGAACAAAGCATCATTGAGGAGCCAAGTGCCAGCTCTCAGCTAGGTTCACTCTCTAGCTGAACCACTCCCTCCCAGACACAGCCTCAGAAGTGCCTGGGATTCACTTTTGTGCCTCAGCAGACACTGCTAAATGCCACGGACATTTGGAGTTGTTTCCAGACGGTCAAAACCACAAACGTCAGGGTGCACTTTATCAGTAAAACTGAGTCACCGTGCACCAGGCGAAGAAATTCCTGCACTCCACTCTAATAACTGTAAATGGGGCCCTGGCTTTTGTCTACTTATCATGCTTAGATCTTGATTTGAACAAATCAACTATAAAAAGACTGTGCTGGCAATTGAAAACATATGACTATGGTCTGGGTATTACTTACTATTAAGGAATTATTGTTAGTTTTTTTAGGTATATGAATGGCATTATGTTATGAAAATATTTTCTTTTTTTGGAGACAGGGTCTTAATCAGGCTAGTGTGCAGTGACATAATCACCGCTCACTGCATTCTCAGACTCGTGGGCTCAAGCTATCTTCCCACCTCAGTCTTCCAAGTAACTAGGATTAGAAGTGTGTGTGTATTAGTCTGTTTTCATGCTGCTGATAAAGACATACCCAAGACTGGACAATTTGCAAAAGAAAGACGTTTAATGGACTCACAGTTCCATGTGACTCGGAAGGTCTCACAATCATGGCACCAGATGAGAGAAGAGAATGACAGCCAAGCAAAAGGGGCTTCCCCTTATAAAACCATCAGCTCTCATGAGACCTATTCATTACCACGAGAACAGTATGGGGGGAACCTCCACCCCCATGATTCAGTTATCTCCCACCGGGTTCCTCTCACAACATGAGGGAATTATGGGAGCTACAATTCAAGATGAGATTTGGGTGGGGACAATGTCAAACCATATCAGTGTGCCACCATACTCAGCTAATTTTATTATTTGTAGAGACACGGTTTCACTATGCTGCCCAGGCTGATCTGCACTCCAGGGTTGCAATGATCCTCCCACCTTGGCCTCCCAAAGCACTAGGATTACAGGCATGAGCCACTACACCTGGCCAATAAAATATTATTTTCTAGATATATACACTGAAGTATTTGATACAAAATTTATGATATTTGGGGTTACTTTAAAATATTTTAGCAAAAATAAACACAGCAAGCTGCTGAGCACTGATAAGTCTTGATGATGGTACATTTTACTACCTTTTTACTTTTATGTCTGTTTAGAATTTTTCACAGTGAGGAGGAGGAAGGGAAGGAGGGAGGGAGGACTCTGTCCAACACCCTTATCATTTTATAATGACTTTAAATGGAAGGAAGGTAGATTAACAGGAGGGAGAAGTTTCCACTACTATTTATGAACACCTATTTTGGGTGATCTCCATGACGAAAATGCATATGACGGGAATGCACATGAAGGCACACAGTACAGTCAGGTAGGGGCTACAACCAATGTTATAAAGATGAGGAAAAGGAAACCGAGGTTTCCCTACATTTCCCTTTTTTGTTTTGTTTTGAGACAGAGTCTTGCTCAGTTGCCCAAGCTGGAGTTCAGTGTCGTGATCTCAGCTCACTGCAACCTGCACCTCCGGGGTTCAAGCAATTCTCCTGTCTCAGCCTCTCTAGTAGCTGGGAGTACAGGCACATGCCACCACACCTGACTAATTTTTGTATTTTTAGCAGAGATGGGGTTTCACCATATTGATCAGGCTGGTCTGACCTCAGATGATCCACCAGCCTCTGCCTCCCAAAGTGCTGGGATTACAGGCGTGAGCCACTGTGCCCGTCCTAACCTACATTTCCACATGGAAAATAGAGAACAAACCGGCTAAATGGAGCTATCTGGCTGCTAAAGAAATTCATTTCAGAGCAATTAAAAACAAAAACAATTATAAATCCAAGGATAACACAGACCCTGCAGATACCTAGGATCTGCCAGGGTTGGGACAGCCACTTCCTCCAGGCCCTTTTGTTAGCTGGACCTGACAACAAGGGTCACTCACAGCCATCCTGACTCTGGTCCTTTCCATTTCCCTGCCACTCAGATAAGGAAACATGAATTCTGACCTGGGACATATGAAAAGGAAAGAGAGCTCTTCCACGGTCACACCCAGAAGAGGGCAGATGAACCTGAGAAATAAAAATAAAATCCTAAGCTCTGCAACTGACTGAACAGACCCCCTCTTGGCCAAGGGGACCACAGAGAAACCTAGAAAACTGAGTTCTGAGCCCAGACTGGATGGCAGGTGGGACAGGCCTAGTTATATCTCCTCCCTTGCTTTTCTTTCCTCTTCTTCTTTTTTTTTTTTTTTTTTGAGACTGAGTTTCGCTCTTGTTACCCAGGCTGGAGTGCAATGGCGCGATCTCGGCTCACTGCAACCTCTGCCTCCTGGGTTCAGGCAATTCTCCTGCCTCAGCCTCCTGAGTAGCTGGGATTACAGGCACTTGCCACGATGCCCAGCTATTTTTTTTTTTTGTACTTTTAGTAGAGGTGGGGTTTCACCATGTTGACTAAGATGGTTCGATCTCTTGACCTTGTGATCCACCCACCTCGGCCTACCAAAGTGCTGGGATTACAGGCTTGAGCCACCGCACCCGGTGCTTTTCTTTCCTAAGGATTAAACAGAAACTAGGCCTTGGGAAAGACTTGCTCCACACGATTTCAACCAACCTCCCTTTTTGTGCTTTTGACACAACTGGCCAGCATTCCTTCTGGCCACAGAATGGTTCTGGCCAGTCTACAGAGGATGCACACTGGGGGTTTTTGTGTCCATCGCTTCACCTTTGATGTCAGCGGGCTGAAAATTCTACTCTCAGATCATGCTAACATGGCCATTTGTTGAACATATGACCTATGGAGAGGCAGGAAGTTCAATTAAGCGTGTGCATGTTTTTCCAATCATAAATATTTATGACTCCTCCTACAGCTTATTAAATATATATTTCAGCCACCTCACTCAGCACAAATTCCTGTTCCCTTTGCCCCTCCCTTGAAGTATGTTTCTGGCTTCTGGCCAGAGGCTATGTTTCCCAGCCTGTCAGAATAGCCACCTCCAGACTGCAACCCTTTGTGAGAAATAAAGTTCTCCTTTCCAAATGTATTAATCTCATCATTCTGCAGCTGACAACCCCATCTGACTGGCAAGTGGCTGACAGCCTCTTTCCCCCTGCATTTAGTGGGAGGTTGGAGCATGCTAACTGAATGCTCTGCAGCGAGAGCCACAGATTCCCCAGCTTTTCCCCACATGCCTTCTATCCAGTATGTCCAGGCTCCCCTTTCTTAAGTATGACTTTCTTCAGAGTTCATCCCTGCTCCAAGACAGTCAATGGCTTCTGGAGGTCTACGCTTCAGTACAGTATGGTGGGTCAAAGGGCAGGCTCAGAGCCACACCACAAAGGGTCAAATCCTGGCCACTTAGGAGCTGGGTGACCTGGGACTAATTCTTAACCTCTCTTTACCTCAGCTTCCTTCTTCTCTTCAAAATAAGATCACAGGGCTGTTGAGAATGGAATGAGTTAGTTGAAATAAAGCATTTAGAACACACTGACTTGAGCACTTAATAACATTAGCATTATTATTGCTATAACCCACCCTTACTTGGTCTCACCACAGGCAACCTATTATTGATTATTGATCCCAACGTGCAGTTAGATCCCCACATCCCTTTAATTTTGCTCTGCTTGATGTTCTTCTGGCATGTTCTCTCTCCACTGTTTCTGCAAATCCTCCCCATGTGTAAAGGTTAAGCTGAAGCCCCAACTTCTCCTCATATTCTGATTGTTGGGGCCTCCCAACCTCCTGCTTTGATAGAGTTTAACAGTATCTACCACTACCTGAACATTTTTATGAAATGAGTGAGTCATAGCCCCATCAGGAAATAGGCAGCACCTAAAAAAGATAATCAAAGACTACTTATAAAGGAGTGGCCAGGGTTGAGGGAACCATAAAGAGATGGCAGGGCACCCAGGGACTAGCAACAGGGGAAGCAGTTATCACCCAGGCTTGAAGGCATAAGGAGAGGGAGTAGTTACTAGACACCAGTGAGAGCCATCAGAGAGGCCTCCTAAGTTGCAGACTTGACAGAGAGAAATACCACTACTGCCAAACCATTTGGGAAGCGGTGAATGAATACCCCAGCCTCTATCTCTTCCATGCTCCACAGTCTCTTGCAGGCAATTCCTATTAGCCAGACCCAACTGGAGGCCAGAACCCAGGGAGAGGTCAGTCCCCTCCCCACCTACCCGGAGACACAGAAAAGGATGGGGAATGGATATGGAGGGGTGAAGCTACCATGGACAGGTTTGTAACAAGCTACATTTACATGGACAGGTTTGTAACAATCATCACTCCATTAGGACCTATCTTGTATTCATTCTGTGGTCTCTCATGTGCAGGCCTCTGCAAGAGTCAGCATGACGAAGTGGAAAAAAACAGACTGTGAAATGAGAGACCTCGATTAATATCATCCAAACCCTGTCATCTTCTAGCTGTATGACCTTAAGAAAGTAACAACTTCCCTGAGTCTCTGATTCTCAAATTCCTTATCGTTGAGATGAGAGTAATCTAAGGTTGTTATAAGAATTAAATTAGAAAAGTAATTCCCTATTCCCTACTTCCTAACTACTTATAGTCTTCTTAACACAAAGGCTCAGATAATGAAAAAATAGCTCAGATGATGAAAAACAGGAATGTGTACATGCACTGATGGACAGAAAATTTCTGTGAATTCGAAGTCATACTGGGAAACTTGAGGGCTTCTTTGGCATTTGTCTTAAGCTGGCTTGTTTAATGAGAAAAGCAGAAAGCTATCTGAGGACTTGTAGACCTTCAGAGCCCTGCAAGTCAGAGTGTGGTCCAACAGCATCGCCAACACCTGGAAGCCTATTACAAATGTATGCTCTGTACCCACTACCACCAGAATCTGCATTGTAACAAGATCTCCAGGTGATCTGTACATGTGTTAAAGCCCAAAAAGTCCTGCTTTAAAACTAAAGGAACCTCAGAGGTCATTTAGAATCTGGTGAAGCCACCCCATTTAATCAGGACACTAACATCCAACACTATGTAAATTGTCCAAGGACATGGTGGCAGATGCTGCCCGTTGACTAATTCTACAGCCTCCAACCCCTCCTCTTATGCTACTTTCCACTTCACAAGGTGAAAAAGCTAAATATTCTCCCAGTCTCCCTTGCAGTTAGGAGTGGCTACATTACAGTTCTGACCAGGGCATCTGATCAGTGGGTTTCTTAAAAATCTACTTTCTTGGGAGGCTGAGGCAGAAGACTCACTTAAACCCGCGAGGTGGAGGTTGCAGTGAGCCGAGATCATGCCATTGCACTCCAGCCTGGGCAAAAAGGGTGAAACTTCATCTCAAAAAAAAAAAAAAACAAAATCTTCTGCTTTCTCAGTAAAGAAGGGCATGCATGGAGACATCAACCTTCCCTGTTTGTCCTGCCTTAAAGAAAACACAGAGTCTGGAGCTGGGGTGCATATCTGGTGGCAATAAAGCCACAAGTGTGAGGCTAAAACAGCTACACACTGAGGGTTGTAGAAGGGCAAGACACAGGGAACCTAGTCCTGAAGGATATCGTTCAGCTGAGGCTGAGTCACCGGCAATTGCCTACATTCAGCCTTCTTGTTATGGAATATACATAAATAAATCTCTCTTTATGGAAGACTCCGCTTGTCAAGTTTTCTGTTACTTGAAGCCAAATTCATCCCACATAATGTCACATAGCTAGCAAGTGGCTAAGCCAGCGTTAGGTCCAAGGGCCCTAGAGACTTTTCCTATGCCTCTTTTATTCATTAAGTCAGAGCAATCTTTCAAAAAAAATTTCTATAAACATATGGAATCAAGAAGTGCTAATGTGAGAATGCATCTGTGCATGGGAAGAGAGGTGTTATATAAACTCGTGTAGTGCTGGAAATAGTATCTTGAGGGAAGATAACCAGGTTCAGTTTAGAAATTCTGCACGTGTGTGTT